GCATTTTTGGGGCTGACCCTCAGAGGGAGAGACTTACCGATCCATGTGGACACACCATTTGCCTGCTTGGATCAATGGTACCCAGTTGAGTGTTCCCTGGTAGTAGGATTTATCCACCCCACCAAACATCACCACACTGCCCTCTGGCTTGCTCCTGTAGAGAGAAGACAGAGGAGGTATCCTTGGAGGACGGTAACAACAGCATTGTCTGAGAGCTGTGCTTGTCTACGCATCAAGGCACTAATAAAGTTCCCATCTACAGATGCAGAAATCGAGTCTAGGAGCGATTGAGAACCAGACTGAGGTCGGTTACTGGCTAATGAGTGGCACAGAGGAGGTTAAAAGCTGAGTCACCTGGCTGGGCTCCACCCACTATATCTTCTGAAGATGCCTTGGACCTCCTGTGACCTAAGTGCTCAAACACCTTCAGAGGACAGGGTGCTGAAGTATTTTGGCTTTCCCCTTGTCCATTTTGTCATTTTTCAAGAAAATCAAGGCCTGGGAGTGCTAAGGGTGTAGGATCAGGTCACCCAGAGTTGGCTCCACTGGCCTGTGACCTCTATTGTCCAAAGGGCCCCACACTCAGAAGGGACCCCACCTCTGCTCTCCCTGTCTTGAAATGCCTAATATTTCATGAAAAAGGGGTCCCACACTTTTGTTTTCTGTCCCACACTTTCATTTTTCACTGGCTCTTGCCAACTGGGTAGCTGGTCCTGGGCTCGCAGTGAAATGCTAATGAGGAAGGAAAGATACCCACCATTCTTCTCCTTCCTTATCAAATTCATAAACAAATCCTAATGCCTTTCATTCCAACTTGATTCCTGTTGCCTTCCATTAGTCTTCCTCCTCACTCATCCCCCTAGATCAAGTTACTGATCTTGAGCCCAGGAGAAGGCTTATGTTCCAATAAAACGTTATTTATAAAAGCCAGTGTTGAAGCCAGGTAGGGCCCTGGGGACATAGTTATCTGGGATTATGTTATCTCTCAAGATACTTATTTATCAAGTGTTCTACAAATTTCTTACAACTGAAAGCAAATTACAGCTCATTTGGAGAAACGGATTGTCCATCTCAGACTTACTTGCTCAGGTAGAAGGCAAAAACAGGCTCAGAAATGGCACCTTGATTCTTCAGGTTGTCAAAGATGGGGATGCCTCCAGTGAAAGATAAGTTGGGATAGCTCAAGCCCAAGACACCATCAAAAGGCTTTCCCTCAAACCAGGAATGCTCCATGCTTACACCAAATGCCTGGTTAGTACTTACAAGGTCCCCAATCTGTGGGAGAGAAGAGTGATCCAACTTACAGATACGTGAAGTGGGGCTAGGACTGGGATGGGATGCATTGCCATTAGATCCTCAGAGAAGAATTGAGGCTGGCCTGTGTGTTCGGTGGACCTCAGGCGGTTAGACCAAGCTGGGAGGGGAATTTGGGTTCCATTTGTGAGAGGCTGTGAATTTTAAAACATCTGCCCCTCTGTAAAACACCACCTGAGTGAGTCAAATTGGCCTCGTGGCTTCTGTGCAGGTGGGGCAACCAAGAGTCAGGCCAGGACCCATCGGTGCCCCCTTGTGGACAAAATGAGCCCAGAGCAAGGCAGCTATCTCCTTGGCATCACTGTGACCTAATGACAGGAATGGACTGCATTCTCTGTAAGGTACTGTGGATTCTGCATCTGTCCAGGAAGACAGAAGCCAAAAACACAGTCTTGCTTGCAGGGGTCTATGAAATTACTGCCTGGAATCACTTTTGGGGATATGTGTGTCTTTGTGTGAGTGTGTATGGGGGGAGGGGACTACTCAAGTACTTTGGGGGAGGCAGGCCATAAGTTTGTTGGACTCTCAAAGACACCCTAAAGTGAGAACTCATTTATCAGGCCCCCTAACTTCTCAGGCCTCCAGTTTCCCCATCTGGATACCTGAAGCCCTTGATGGCCCCGAGGGTCCCCAGATCAGTTTTATCCTGTCCCCAAACACCCCACAGCAACTTCAGTCCTGAAAAGCCAGCCGAGCTCCACTGTTTAACACATGTGTGTCCTCAGCAAGGCCTTTGCTGGCTGCACCTCAGGTTCCTCATATGTCCCATGAGTTAATCAGAGTAAATGCTGTGTGGGGTTGTTGCAGGACTAAACCAGTTATCACCTGAAAGTGCCTGGAACAGTCTGAGAATATAAAGTGGGTGCTTTTTTCCCCTCTTCTCACTCCCAGCAAAATGAACCTTGAAGTTCTCATGGGCAGAGAAGCTGCAAGTCCCCATCTCAAGCCACTCTCTGGGTTAGCTAATCTGGGTGCTCGTGTGTCACCACGGGCACTGCCTCCCCAGGGACAGGCTCCTGTGGGTAAGATGGCCAATATCAGTGGGAGTTAGGCTAGGAAGGGTCCTGCCAGATGGTCCTGCATCTGTTTTGCAAGCAGTGGTCACTCCATAGCCAGTCCTGACTCAGCATTTGTTACATTCTTACACGAACAGTGTCATGAACCACAACTCCATTCATCCTCCCACGACCGTATTCGATGCTGAATCTCCTTTTGGTAGGCCGGAAAGTGGAAGAATCACGATGTCTGAACAAACTGTGTGAAGCTGCAGACCCAAGAGATAAGGGTCATCAGGTGCCAGGTGTGCAAAAAAAGGGAGGCAGGGCAATGGAAAGATGGGCCGGATACGGGGTGTCTGTACTCACAACAGAGTCGCCTGGAGCATAAGATGGAGTGCACCCACAGGTCAGATGAGCCTGTATCAAAGACAACCTGGAATTTCTGAGGGGGTGTTCCAATGGTGATGTTACCCGCATATATTATCTATAGGGAAAAGGAGGTAATGGGTTAGTGCAGAACTGGCTACCCTCTATTCCCACACTCATGCCTCCCTCTGGATGTCACATATCTCTTGAGATCACTTTCTAACCACTGTGCAGCTCACTGACTTTGGTCACAGAGGTGTCTGCATTTGATATATTTTTCCTGTGCTGCATGGTATGCAGGATATTGACTCTATGACCAGGCGTTGAAGTTGTACCTCCTGCATTGGAAGCACAGAGGCATAACCACTGGACTCTCAGGACACTGGGAACCCAGGGAAGTCCTGGTGTCTTCATTTGAGAAGCTCTGTACTCTCTTCCAACACAACATTAACACCCCCTTCTCCAGGAGGTCCTTCTTGATCAACCTCAGCCACTCCCTCAAAACTCAGACCACATCCAATCAACACCACATAGGTGACCCTTTCATTTGACATCTATTTACTAATATGCCTATCTCTCAGGCCGGCATGAGCATTCTTGAAGACAAAATAAGCCCCTTTTCTAATCTAAAAACAGTAAACACAGTGTTAGATACTTATGGCCTTACACCCGGAATACGGGTTCAGTAACATTTTAGGGCTGTGGTTCTTGTTTCTGTGGAAACTGAATTCCTCTGCCTGGGGATTCACAATTGCTTTGCCGTTGGTTCTACCAGTTGATCAGTGACGGTTCCCTCTTCATCTGTAACTGACTGACTCACTTATTTCAGAGGGAACAATCTCCCTCAAACTAATGACACATCTTTGACACAGAAATGGATATTTGCCTGCCACCTGGTAATCGCCGGGTCCAGTCACAAAGACCAACAGTTGAGGATGATAGTGTGTTCTCCTCTGGTTGGGGTCCCTGTTTTCCAGTGTTTCTGCCTCCTGCAGGAACCCCAACTCAAACATCCCACCTGGCACCTCCAGATGAGCCCTGGTACTAGTCTAGAGCACCAGAGGGCGCTGTGGAGCACGATCCTCCCAAAATACTCACATCCTCGATGTTTCTCAGGGGGTGAGTAGCTATGTTTGGGCCAGGAGAAGAAGTCAGGTAGAGTCTGTAAGCATGTTCCTTCAGGAAATTGTTCCGCATGTTTTTTTCAGTGTGGGTTTTTCTCATGATATTCACTCTCGTTAGAGGTATTCTTTACCGAGCATTTGACAAAGAAAACAAAGAGGAAGCTACAGTTAGATGTCAGTGTTCAGGTAAAACTGTCGTTGTAATTTCCCTGTGTATTTTCTAATCACTTTTATGAGGCACATTATTATCGGAATTTTATGCACATACCATGGCAAAGACATAGGTTTGATTACAGGTTCTGTTCTGCAATCTGGGATAAGCCATATGACCATGGGGTGTCTCAGTCTCCCCCTCAGTAAAATGGTGGAATGTAACAACACAAACCCTCCAAAGAGAATATCTTTGGGATAAGTGAAGTGATGGATATAAGGTACTTGATATATAAAAGTCTCAATAATGACAGCCATTAGCATTGCTGTTGCCATCCCACTGTATCCTCCTCATAGAACATCAAGGAAGGAGGTAGAAGGGGGACTCATATGCTCTTTTACAAGGGAGCAATTTGAAATGCAAGAGGTTACTGAGTTGGCTGTGGTCACATTGCTTGTCAGATATAAAACTGTATATCAAACTGTATCTTTCTCCAATTTGAAAGAGAAGAGGGAGTTGAAAGAAGAATTCAGGAGATGGGGAAAAAGTAAGGGAATTTCAGAGCCTCGAAAAGGAAGGATGAGTCAAATGAAAAATTAAAAGAAAACAACACAGAGACAAATACACTCACAGAGACTTCCAAAGAGATGGAGAGGTAAATGATAGTGATACAGAGATGCAGACATAGACATATACACACTGAAGTAGACAGGGAACAAAGAGTACATGTTGAATAAAATACACAAAAGTGCCATTCCACAGGACCACACCTACATCTGCATAGACTGTGTACTGAACAGTTGTAAGGAGTTGCATTTTCAATAAGTCATGACTGGACCCCAAGAGTTGTGCAACCAAGCAAATCTACTCCAAGACCCTTGGGATCCACAGTTCCTAAAGCAAGGTACTTGTCAATAAGTAAGGGTTGAATTTCAAGACTGTCAGGGAAATATTCATTCCATATAAATCTGATGGGTGGAAGAATAAGCAGGTGAAAAGAAAAATCCGAGAAAGGAAGATGATGCAGCTGACAGTCCCCATACTTACTTGACTATGCACTCTGAGAAGACCACCAGCGCAAGGAGCACAAGCCACTTCATGCTTCTTTCCTGGCTCCAAGTCCTCAGGGAAGTTCGGGTTCTTAGCGTGTAGTGGTGACCAGGAGCCCCTAGTTATATATGCTCTGACTTAGCCTAGTTTTCCCCTTTACGCCACTAATAGATCTGATAAAAACACAAAGCTTTCGATAAAATCTCTACCTTCATCACTATCCTTGTTGAGTGGACATTGAAGCTTCTCAGAATACAGAGAATTGAACTGTAATCTCTTCCTTGAAGCTTAGCTGGAGAATCTAACTGATCTACATGGACATCTAAGGAAAAGGAGAACCTTGCTTACTTGGAGAAAAATCTAAGAACATCATGAAAATGGTAAGTAGGGGCCATACTCTACATTCATGGTTTCAAGTCATCTTCCTAGCCACTTCATGAGATATGCATTGCTGTCTTCATTGGAGAGGAGATTGCTAGGAGGATAAGTTGTCAAATGGCAAAGTGAAGACTTCAGGGACCGCCCAGAGACACACAACTGGCCTTAAGTAGTGGGTCTAATGGCAGAGATCTGGGTACCTGTGATGCCCGTCTGCATCAAAGATTTAGGGCAGAGCAGTACTTCCATTGCATGGGTTTCAGTATTGTAAAAAATGTCATATGCATCCACAAGATATTTTATATCATCCAGCAAACAAACAAGGAAGAACTGTGTGCTGGTTTCTGGGTTAAGGGCTTCAAAGTCAAAGTTGATCAAGACAAAACCTGTCTTTATCTTAAGAGAGCCAGCAGTCTAGCTCTCACAAACTCGTGGCCCCAGGAGGCAAGAGAAATGATAATAGGACTAGGTGGCCATGCTGGACTCTGACCCCTGGGAGCAGCCTTTCCTCTACTTCAACCATGCTGAAAAGCAAGCCAGTTGGCCGTGTTTTCAAGAGAATCAGAAGTTTGGATATTTATGTACAATCTACTGATTTTAATCTTAGCAACTAATTTTTTTTTCTCAAAAAAAGAGTGGGAACGAAATGTCCACAATGATGTGCTAGAATCAGCCTTCAGTCTCTGTAGGTTTTTATTTCTAGCCTACACTTGGGAGTGCAGTGGGAACAGAAAGGAATGTAATTCAAGTTGGTTGATTTAAAAAGACTGAAAAATGCATACTGAACATGTTTGTTTCCTTTCTATTTATAAAGAAAGATCATTGGGGACATGCAAACCAACAAATTTAACTGCTGAAGATATATGGATATATTTCTGATATAATTTCCCCTATAGGGTCTATACCATGAAAAATTTTGTCTGCCAAAGCAAAGACCAAAAAGAAAAAAATTTTTTAAGGTCTTCCCAATCAAAGAAGACAAAACACCTGTGGCAGCCAAAGTAAAGACAACCCTGTTTAATGACTCATCCAGGACTCCCAGGGCCTATTCAGCATGAGATCTATCCAGGCCTGTCCCTTGAATACAACAGGAGCCTCTCCTGCTGCCAGCTGTATGTAGGTGGAGCTCTGTGTATTAATCCTCATTTTTGCATATTGTTTAAATTCTGTTTTGGTGGTTAAATCCCAACAGGGGAAATATGACATCACTGAGAAATGACACACATATATGCCCTTTGAACTATGGCCTTGGAGAACACTTTTTTTCATTTATTTTTATTAGTTGGAGGCTAATTACTTTACAATATTGTAGTGGTTTTTGCCATACATTGACATGAATCAGCTATGGATTCACATGTGTTCCCCATTCCGATCCCCCCTCCCTCCTCCCTCTACATCCCATCTCTCTGAGTTTTCCCAGGGCACTAGCCCTGAGCACATGTCTCATGCATCCAACCTGGGCTGCTGATCTGTTTCACCCTTGATAGTATATTTGTTTCAATGCTATTCTCTCAGAACATCCCACCCTCGCCTTCTCCCACAGAGTCCAAAATTCTGTTTTATACATCTGTGTCTCTTTTTCTGTTTTGCATATAGGGTTATCATTACCATCTTTTTAAATTCCATATACATGTGCTAGTATACTGAATTGGTGTTTATCGTTCTGGCTTACTTCAATCTGCATAATGGGCTCCAGTTACATCCATCTCATTAGAACTCAATCAAATGAATTCTTTTTAATGGATAAGTAATATTCCATAGTGTATATGTACCATAGCTTCCTTATCCATTAGTCTGCTGATGGGCATCCAGGTTGCTTCCATGTCCTGGCTATTATAAACAGTGCTGCGATGAACATTGAAGTGCACATGTCTCTTTCAGATCTGGTTTCCTCAGTGTGTATGCATAGGAGTGGGATTGCTGGGTCATATGGCAGTTCTATTTCCAGTTTTTTAAGGAATCTCCACACTGTTATCCAGAGTGGCTGTACTAGTTTGCATTCCCATCAACAGTGTGAGAAGGTTCCCTTTTCTCCACACCCTCTCCAGCATTTATTGTTTGTAGACTTTTGGATAGCAGCCATCCTGACTGCCGTGTAATGGTACCTCATTATGGTTTTGATTTGCATTTCTCTGATAATGAGTGATGTTGAGCATCTTTCCATGTGTTTGTTAGCCATCTGTATGTCTTCTTTGGACAAATGTCTGTTTAGTTCTTTGGCGACTTTTTGATTGGGTCATTTATTTTACTGGAATTGAGCTGCAGGAGTTGCTTGTATATTTTTGAGATTAATCCTTTGTCTGTTGCTTCATTTGCTATTATTTTCTCCCATTCTGAAGGCTGTCTTTTCACCTTGCTTATCGTTTCCTTTGTTGTGCAAAAGCTTTTAAATTTCATTAGGTCCCATTTGTTTATTTTTGCTTTTATTTCCAATATTCTGGGAGGGGTGTCATAGAGAATCCTGCTGTGATTTATGTCGGAGAGTGTTTTGCCTATGTTCTCCTGTAGAAGTTTTATAGTTTCTGGTCTTACATTTAGATCTTTAATCCATTTTGAGTTTATTTTTGTGTATGGTGTTAGAAAGTGTTCTAATTTCATTCTTTTACAAGTGGTTGACCAGTTTTCCCAGCACCACTTGTTAAAGAGGTTATATTTTTTCCATTGTATATCCCTGCCTCCTTTGTTGAAGATAAGGTGTCCATAGGTACAAGGATTTATCTCTGGGCTTTCTATTTTCTTCCATTGATCTATATTTCTGTCTTTGTGCCAGTACCATACTGTCTTGATGACTGTGGCTTTGTAGTACAGCCTGAAGTCAGGCAGGTTGATTCCTCCAGTTCCATTCTTCTTTCTCAAGATTGTTTGACTATTCGAGGTTTTTTGTATTTCCATACAAATTGCGAAACAATTTGTTCTAGTTCTGTGAAGAATACCGTTGGTAGCTTGATAGGGATTGCATTGAATTTATAGATTGCTTTCAGTAGTATAGTCATTTTCACAATTATGATTCTTCCAATCCATGAACATGGTATATTTCTCCATCTGTGTGTGTCTTCTGTGATTTCTTTCATCAGTGTTTTATAGTTTTCTATGTATAGGTCTTTTGCTTCTTTAGGTACATATACTCCTAAGTATTTTATTCTTTTGGTTGCAGTGGTGAATGGTATTGTTTCCTTAATTTCTCTTTCTGTTTTCTCATTGTTAGTGTATAGGAATGCAAGGGATTTCTGTGTGTTAATTTTATATCCTGCAACTTTACTATATTCACTGATTAGCTCTAATTTTCTGATAGAGTCTTTAGGGTTTTCTATGTAGAGGATCATGTCGTCTGCAAACAGTGAGAGTTTTATTTCTTCTTTTCCTGTCTGGATTCCTTTTATTTATTTTTCTGCTCTGATTGCTGTGGCCAACACTTTCCAAACTATGTTGAATAGTAGTGGTGAGTGTGGACACCCTTGTCTTCTTCCCGACTTTAGGGGAAATGCTTTCAGTTTTTCACCATTGAGGATAATGTTTACTGTGGGATTGTCATATATAGCTTTTATTATGTTGAGGTATGTTCCTTCTTTTCCTGCTTTCTATAGAGATTTATCATAAATGGATGTTGAAATTTCAAAGGCTTTTTCTGCATCTATTGAGATAATACATGGTTTTTATCTTTCAGTTTGTTAATGTGGTGTATTACATTGATTGATTTGAGGATATTAAAGAATCCTTGCATTCCTGGGATAAAGTCCACTTGGTCATGATGTGTGATCTTTTTAATATGTTGTTGGATTCTTGTTGCTAGAATTTTGTTAAGGATTTTTGCATCTGTGAACATCAGTGATATTGGCCTGTAGTTTTCTTCTTCTTCTTCTTCTTTTTTTTTTTTTTTTTTTGGCATCTTTGTCTGGCTTTAGTATGAGGGTGATGGTGGCCTCATAGAATGACTTTGGAAGTTTGCCTTCTTCTGTAACTTTATGGAAGAGTTTGAGTAAGATAAGTGTTAGCTCTTCTCTTAATTTTTGGTAGAATTCAGCTGTGGAGCCATCGGGTTCTGGACTTTTGTTTGCTGGAAGATTTCTGATTACAGTTTCGATTTACATGGCTGTGATGGGTCTGTTAAGATCTTCTATTTCTTCCTCGTTCCGGTTTGGAAAGTTATACTTTTCTAAGAATTTGTCCATTTCTTCCAAGTTGTTTATTTTATTGGCATACAGCTGCCGGTAGTAGTCTCTTATGATCCTTTGAATTTCAGTGTTGTCAGTTGTGATGTCTCCATTTTCATTTCAAATTTTGTTGATTTCGTTCTTCTCCGTTTGTTTCTTGATGAGTCCGGCTAATGGTTTGTCCATTTTATTTACCTTTACAAAAAAAAAAAAAAAACAGCTTTTAGCTTTGTTGATTTTTGCTATGGTCCCTTTTCCTTCTTTTGCATTTATTTCTGCTGTAATTTTTAAGTTTCCTTTCCTTCTACTAACCCTCGGGTTCTTCATTTCTTCCTTCTCTAGTAGCTTTAGGTGGAGAGTTAGGTTATTTTTTTTTTTTTTTACTTTTTTCTTGTTTCTTGAGGTAAGCCTGTATTGCTATGAACCTTCCCCTTAGCACTGCTTTTACAGTGTCCCATAGGTTTTGGGTTGTTGTTTTTTCATTTTCATTCGTATCTATGCATATTTTGATTTATTTTGAT